GTTTGTAGGCAGTTTTTGAAATATGTCAAACTACTAGGAAGCAGCTATGTTAAGTGATATTAAAATGTCATTTTAAGAAAATACTTTAATTAAAAAATATATTTTCTTCAGAAATTCGATTAAACTATTGATTAATTTTAAGGTGTAATATTATTGAATTTCGTTTTGTTCTGTTTTTTATTTATTACCATACAATGCAAACTTAAATTTTATTTATTCAAACAAACAGTGTTGTTGTTCATAGTTCGATATTTTTGTTCAATATTTACATTGGATCTTTTTATGTTTTAAATTTGTTTTATTAAATCAGATAAAAATAAAATGAATAGCTATTTAAATATTTGCTTTGAATTAATAATAAATGTGCATAAATGATATTTTTAAGAGTTTAACTTTGAATGAAATTCATGCTTTCTTTATAAATTAAAAACGTGCATCATTATTCATGTAGTGTGGCTTTACTCGACCCTAACGTGCTCAGTTAACAAATAATTTATTCTCAGTTATTTATTTATTTTGATGAAAAAACTGTCTTATAATTGTCACTTATCGAACAAGTCAATTTGTATCATCCCGCATAAACAACTATCATTAATTCAGGCTTACTTACGATTGTACTTCTACATTAAACTACAAATCAATAAATTTACCTCAGCGATAAAACTGAATGAATCGACTGTGAAATAAGTAATTGAAGAAAGTAGATAAGAAAGATTAGATATAAGTTTCGAAATGGCTGATATTCATCACTACTTGTTATTGACATCCTTGAATAATTATTCAATTCTGTTATTATAAGGTGTTTTATCCGAACAATAAATCGAATTGTACTCATTTATATTTACAGAATCAGTCAACTATCTGGCAGACAGTTAATGATGACTTTTAAAAAAAAAAAATTTACTACTATTTTTATGATTATCATGATTATTAATTATTATTACTATTATTAAATCACCTAACTTGAATTTAGTATGGTCATGTTACTCAAGTACTACAAGTTCTAGACCTTTCGAGTCGTTGCACTAAAGATATTTGACCAAGAATCTAAAATTATTTCATTGGCCTTTAGTTTACCCTAGTGTATAATTTCGGTCGATTTTATATGATAATAGTAAACCACTCCTAACAACGAACGACTTCACGTGTGGCAACATGGTTGATTAACATGCTAAACGAATTGGAACAGTCAAACTGAACTACTTACTGTTTTTATTTAGTAGTATAACTATTTTACCGAAATTTATATTTGTCCTACTGTTGCGTTTTCCTATTTTGGTACTATTTTTGTAATCTGAAAAAGTTGTAAAGATATACACAGAGTCCTTCACGTTGTAGAGCAGGAGAATTTTCAGTTGTTTCGTATGGTGTGGTTATTACTGTTTATTTAGAAGGGAAATCTTGTATAAAATACAGTTTACAGATTGACGACTGCTCTTCTGTTTTAAGCAGGAAATTGTTTCACTATATTGATATCATTTTATAAGTTAACTAATTTCTGACTACTTTTAATGTTATTCGACTGAATGAACTTTAAGTAATCGTGTATTAAATAATGACTATAACATGATTTTTCTTCCTTTACTCATATCACTGGTAAAAATTATTTTGCTTAACTTATTGAATGTCTGGACTACAATCAATAACTTACTGAGTACATGATATATTTCACTGAAAAAGGCTTTCAATAAAATTTAAAATCTCTTGACTGATAACGATTGTGATATCAATATAGGTGCTCTTTGGTAGAACTGTAAATGCTAGTTGTACAGTTAGAAACGAGATTAGATATTATAGACCTATTACATAATGTAATTTTTATTTTAAAAATGAAATTAGAATATATCATGTTTTATTGATTCATTTTCCAAAGAATCTGAGAATTCTTAAGTAAATAAATAAACTTATGTAAACAGTGAAATTTACTTAATTCCGATTTGTTTAAATCTCTTACATTGGATTATCTCATCGAATAAGCAATAAAAGTCATTTAAGAATCGAAAATTCATAGCAAAATAAATAACTTTCCACTGTTTCATTTTCTCCTTTGAAGATTCTTCTTTGAATTAAATACCACTCACTGCTAAACTCAGAATCAAACACTGTAGCAAAAAAATTGGAAATTCTTTTCAGTGACGTATGGAGAAATATAAGACAATCGTTAAAATAACTGTTCCATTATAGATATGGTCACAATTTTGTGTATGAGACGTTTACTACTCACTTATTCAAATAAGTAGCAAGGCAACTAACAGAAAATTATTTGTACAATAAGTAAATCTCTTCATGGTAAGATATATTCCTTTTTGTATTTCGAAAACCTATAAATATTTTCAAGGGATCTGTTGAATACATAATAAAGAAATAGTTGGAAAGTTAGGCGAAGGTAAAATTCGGTTTTTGATTACGAGATATTTGTAGAGCAAATAAAATAATTACGTCCAGCGAAAATTGATATGAAAATAACACTGGATAAGGATATCATTCTGGTAATCGCGTTTTTCCTGGTTTACACTATAAAACTACGAGACAACTGTATGATACAACGAAGAGGCTCTCTGGAAAATATAGTAAGCTAGAACGGCCAGTCAACAATAAGGAAAACAAAGCAATCACTAGCATTTGAAAACAGCAAAGCAGGTGGGTAGAGAACTTTAAAGAATACTTGAATATCGAATAGACTAGCTCCAATAAATCCACACAATATCGAAGCAGAATCTACGGACCTCCTAAATGATGCTGACACACAAATAACATGGCTATTAGACGCCTTGATATGGCGTAGAAAGTGTATTCTACAGTCACCCAGAAACGTGAGGTCTTGTACACAAGAAGAAGAAGGATCATAAAACTTCGCATACTAACTAATAGGCAATAACATTTAAAATATGTCAACTTGATAGTCAGGTCGACCTTAAGTATTGACCAATAGAATGAGACTCACAAAATAATTCATTAGGATGTTTTATGAATATTCTAACATAATTATATTTCAAATCGATCGAAGATAGAAATGTACATGATTAAATTCAAGCTAAATTCAAGCTAACTTCGAGTAAAAGGCATGCCCGTAATGAGTTATTGGGGGGTAAATCGCTATCTAACTCACTGATGTAGATCTGTAATGAAAATCATCTTAAATATCAACACAATTAAAACAATAATCTCACATGTGATTATCTGACTTTAAATTTATATTGCCTTAAAGTATTCCTTATGTACATTGGTAAGCCTATTAGCCCTGTTACATTTCTAATTATTAGTAAAATTTCATGTATCAGTATAGTGATTTTTTTTATGATTTTAGATTTTTTTTCGTATAAATAGGGCGAAACACTATTCTACTCATTGTTTTCTCTTGTAAAGTTACATCTCCTAATCAGCATTATCTTTGTGTAGTCAGTTTTCTGAAAAAAAAGTTAAAATGTACCTACATTTTCTTAAGAAAAAAAATGTGTATACTAACTTCATATTCATGGACATTAGATTCATGGAAAGTTACATAGAACAGGAAAAAAAGACAATCAAACAATTGGTACATTTATTATATTTACTAAAAATAAACGACCGTGAAATCATGTGAATACAAAGTGAAGTTATTCATTTCAACCAACAATAATTAAGTCTAAACAATCATTCAGTATAGACACTATCAGCAACAACTTACTATGGGAGAGAACAAACCAGATTCCAGTGGAGGAGGAAATCAGGAACGAGAGGTGGAAGTGGATAGGACATACACCACGAAAAGCACATAACTACATCACAAGAGAGGCCCTCACATGGAACCATCAAGGTCAAAGGAAAG